ATTGGGGAATAAAAAAGCGCACATCATCAGCACACTATCCCAAGAGTAATGGACAGGCAGAATTGGCCGTCACAATGACCAAGCAAATATTGTCGGACAACATATATGATCGCCTATGCCATGACCGCGCGACCAGATCCCTATTAGCACACCGTAATACCCAAGTCCAAGACCCGGACATGTCTCCAGCGATAATGATGGACGAACGTTTGATGAAGGACCATCTCCCAGCCCTTTAAGACAAATGCTGAATTAATAAACGGTGAGGGAGACAGGCCGGTATAGGGAGACAGCGATGATTAAAAGGCATATGAAGAATGAAAAGTGACGCACACAGTCGCCCACTTCAGCAGCTAGAAATTGGGCGGGGGGGTCGGTTCAGATACAGATCTAAGCTGGTTCATACTCACTCTGATGGGCGAAATCTGGGAGAGTTGTGAAAGCTTGAGGCAATAGCAATACCACGTACGCATTGACGTGAGTAACCGGCTAACCGGCCGCTTCCGCCGCTTCCATAAACGCAGTTGTGAACACAAAATGTTTTAAACCGCCTGAAACCGGATAAGAGGCTGTCTCCCCAGATAGGAATGGATACCATAAAAATGATCCAACGAATTTTAGCCAGCCCCTCAATGGACATGAACAACCCAAGGAATGGACTGTTTGATGTTGGCGCTGATATGTAGTTTTGGAGCTGCGACCTCTTAATTTAGGTACCTCATGAGATTGCTAAAAAAAAACATAGCATGATGAAAAAGACGCCAAACTTGACGAAAACAAAATTTTATCGTCTAAATGTTTGTTATTATTAAAGGAAAGATAAAAGTATTCCGGGGTATTTTTTTACATTTTTTAAACGTTCCTAGCACGTCTGAAATTTTCGTTAAAATCTTTTTTTTTTTTTTTTTTGAGTCAGAAAAAATTGACCATTTTTTTCCATTTAAAAAAACTGGAAATCTGACTTTGAAATTTTTTTAAATATCAATTATCATTTTTTCAAAACTTATTTTAAGAAAATCAGAAATTATAATGTTTATTTAAAATATTTTGAACCAAACTTAACTTAGCTTTTGTGCCAAAAAGATGTAATTTGAAAATAAAACAAAGCAGGTCATAAACTTTCGCGTCTCTTGACATGTGATGAATGATATATTTACGAATTCCATGAGGCTAATTTGTTCTACGGAAGGAGAAAAGTGAAATAATTTACATTTACGTGAACAAATTATTTACCCCGTTATTTTTAACGAAAACTTTCAGCGGTCTAATTTTTTTTTTTTTTTTTTTTTGTACTTAGCTTTCACCTTTACGTTTATGATGCTTTATGGGAAATATATTCTAAAAGAAATTAAAATAAAACTGTTAAGAGTGACATTAAATTTCATATTTCTTAAGAAAGGTATCTAATTAATTTATAGGTACCTTTCTTATGAAATTTTATCAGAATTGTACATAAAATACTATAATTTTATGTACATTTATTACATTCTACTGTTATTTGTATTTGCATTCATTTTATTATTAATTTTGATATTTCATTTATGGAAAAATGTCGTAACTGAGATTAATATAAAAATAAGATCATATAAATTTCATAGCATGATACTGATACTTGTAGGTACCCTTCTCAGTTGAAATTGAAAAATCAAATTAACTTCTCCACACGTGTTTCGCAAAAGTAAAGGCCTTAACAGCGGAGAACAATGCTTAACTCAAATAACGCAACTTAATTATATTCTGGTTGGTCTTCCGTATTTTATAATTAAAGCTCAATTATAAGCACAAAATTACTTTTCTTAATTACTGGGTATCTTCTGATTAGTCAAAATGATACAATTTACAACGCGCTAAAAAAGATCTATCACATAAGGACACTTATGAAAGCCGATGCGGCTTTTAACTAATTTTATAATATTTTAACAACTTAAATGTAAAATCTATTATAATTAATGAAATAACAAATAATTGTATTAAAAATTCATTTTTCATCGAAAAAATTTTTTTGCTTTCAGAAAATATTGTCCATATTCATAAAAACAACTAAAAGCAAATAAAAGCATTTGAAATTAAATAATATCTTTGTTTTATTGAGTTTTGTATGTTACAATTCAGAGCTGATTTTCAGGTACTGCGTATCCAATTAAAAAACAAAAAAAAACATGATTTGCATTCCTCAAAGCCCTGTGCTTTTAATTATTGTAATCACTAAAACCGATGCGATCGAATTTCTAGCGTTTTCATAAAATTAGTTATGGGGGGGGTAATAAATATTTTTAAAAAATATTTCTACCATGACTTTCATAAAAAAAACATATTTATAATAATTTCGATCATCTGTGAATAGTTCCTGAAAGTTTCATTAACATCCGATAATTATTTCTATTTTTGCACGATTTTTCAAATTAATGTGTGTCATAAAAAAAAAAACGTGCTAAAATTGTCTATGTTATTTACTAGTTCCGCTGATACAAATAGAAACAAGGTTTTTTTTAATCAAAATTTAGAATGTTCTAAAAGAAGGAAAATTTTTAAAAATAATTAAAAAAAACTTTGCTCTTTCCTCTTAATAATAACATAAGCATTTAGACAATAAAATTTTGTTTTCGGCAAGGTTGGCGTCTTTTTCATCAAGCTATGCTCTTTTTTTAGCGATTTCGTGGAGGTACCTATCTTAATTGCTGGTGTTCTCAGGTCCACCATGAGACGGGGTGGTAGCACATGTTAGAGTCCCAGCTATGGGCAAATAGTTAACCCCGAAACTGGGATCAAAACACAATGAAAATAAAAATAGGTTTTAATACCAGAAATACTTTGTAAACAATTATCAGCAATAAATTTTTGAAGAAAAGAAAATTACCAACAATACGTTTTTGAAAAAAAAATATTACCAGCAATACATTTTTGAAGGAAAAAAATTATTACCAGAAATAGATTTTTGACAAAACAAAATACAGTGTAACCCGGATATAAGAGTGATTTTCTCTGGTCCCAAAGTGTTCCCATACTTACCTAAACAAAATAGACCAAACCCGGATATAAGAGAAACCCGTATATGAGAGACTTCTTCTCCGGTCCCGTCAACTCTCTTATATCCGGGTTACACTGTATTACCAGCAATAAAAATATTGTCGGCATTAAATAACCCATTGAATTTGATATGCCGTAAATCAAATCAAACCAAGCTACCAGCCCCAATCTCCAGGTACCGCACCAGAATACACAGATAGCTCGGAGAGGATAGAAATCCCCACAATGATGGAGGTTGATGAAAGCCAACATCAAAAAAAAAAAAAAAAATCAACCAATACTAAACCAGGGCCCACGTCGCAGTACGAGAACATCACGCCCACCTCGAACACTATCCTCACAGATGCAGGCTACGTCACACGAATATTCATGGACATCCCTGCAATGGACCATGAGTGGTGGGCGGGGCATGTAGAGTAATACAGGCGGTCGTATCATACGGAGGAACGTCCGTAAGATCACCGCCAGTACCAATTCATGAAACGGACTAACGCGGCCACGTGCAAGACATGGCACGCGTGTGAACAACAATAATATAAACAAGGCGAGCGGGAAGCCTGTGAAGGTGGACAGATTGCAACCGTCACTTAAGCACTCTACATGTACCAAAATATTTGTTGTTTGAAAAAATATTTATATCTTATCTAGGAATGTGACCCAGTTATTCCCATTTAGCATCCTGTTATATATATATATATATATATATATATATATATATTTTTTTTGTTTTGTTTTTTTTCGTATCTACTCTGAATATTTTTTCAGGTAGCATATGTTGAAATAATTTAATACTGAAAATCCTGTATCGCCCCACATTTTCTGTTCAGTTGCTCATCACCCACCCAACAGTTGAAATTGCCCACTGTTGGGCGATATCACCCATGTTGAGAAACTGTGGTCTAATCCCGTCCTGGGTATGACGATAAACTACGTCCAAAAGCAAAGCCTCTGATCAGGAGGTTTTTAAGAGCGTGGAACCACATCTTAATTGCTGGTATTCTCATGGTGGCAGTAGATGCTAGGATCCCAGCTATGGGCAAATAGTTACCCCCCCCCAAAAAAAAGGGTTAAAACACTATGAAAGTATAAAAATACATTTTAATACCAGCAATACATTTTTGGAAAAAAAATTACCAGCAATAAAAATCTCTTCAGCATTAAATAACCCATTGAGGTTGATATGCGTAAAACAAACCAAACCAATCTGGTCTAATCTGTCTCTTGTAAAGATAAAACATGCATTTTCAGGCCAACATAGCTTAATAGTTAAGGCATGAGAATTCATTACAGTAGGAAATTAATTCGAATATAATCAATTTAAATTAGGATTAACATCGTTAAATCAACTAAAAAGAAAATAGTTGCTTTCTTTTCAAACTTTGTGAAGAGCTTTTTTTTTTCTAAGTTCTTTTTCTGGTCGCATTCCTCATGACTTCGGATTTTGTTGAGTAATGTTTATATTTTCATTATTGTCTTGTACAGATTTTACAAATTTTAATTTTCTATCCTGCAACCTCTTCCGTCCTGGGTGAGACGATAAACTACGTCCAACAGCAAGGCTTCTGATCAGGAGGTTTTGAGGAGCGTGGAACCACCTCTTAATTGCTAGTGTTCCCAGGTCCATCCTGACCCGGGGTGGTAGCACCTGTTAGGGTCCCAGCTATGTGAAAATAGTTAACTATTACCAGCAATACTTTTTTGAAAAAAATTATTACCAGCAATACAATTTTGAAGGAAATATATTACCATAAACAGATTTTTGACAAAACAAAATATTACCAGCAATAAAAAATTTTGTCAGCATTAAATAACCCATTGAGGTTGATATACCGTAAAACAAAATAAACCAAACCAAACCTGCAACCTCTTTCTCACAGACAAAACATTACATGTCGGTCACTGCTCTATTGCTATGTTCAGGCAAAATACATTCCTTAGTTCCACACTTTTTAATCTTCATAGCTAAGACCTGCTTACGGCCATGTCACCTTGAAACATTGGTTCCTGTATGATCTCAAAGTTAAGCAACGTTGAGACTGGTCAGTACCTAGATGGGTGACAACTTGGGAATACCAGGTGCTGTAAGTTTGGATATTTGAATGGTGTAATGGAAAATGGCTCAGAATTGTTAATTGGAATGCTAAGTTCCAATTCCACTTGGGTTTGTTATATGTAAAATCTCTTGGGAAAGATATACGTTCTAGGTATGGATTAATTAGTAAAACATGTATCATTGAAATCTTTGTGAAAAAATTCTTACAATCGAAAATTATCTGTCTATATTTCTGAGATGAGGTATTATGTACGCTATTTACATTATTCGGACTATTGTCCTCATCTTTGTTGCCATATTTATCACAACGTTTTGGCCGTAGACTGTTCTAGTTCCACGTGCCATCTCTAATTGATGTTATCTGTTAATTTTCTCCCTCCAAGTTCTCCACTGCCTTTATACACTGTGCCATGTGTCCGGCAGACGTGGAAACCCTGACTCAAGCCCACACTAGGGACAGCGATTCCACATAGAGCCAGACTGCTCATCCTGACCCTCAGCCTGCGAAGGAAAGCGTAATTTAGAGGCAACAATGAGCAACCCTGACGAACCGACCGAGACAGCGCAAAAGCGGGCTAACCGCTTCCTGTTCACGTGTACCACAGCACTGGTGGTGCGATACAGGAGGCCAGTCCATTTGCAGAATTTGGGTTTGAATCCGGCGGCCTGCAGTAAAGCAGCCCAATACTAATGGTCGACCCTATCAAATGCCTTAGACTGATCCAAATGCTCGCTTTCTCGCAGTCTATTATACCCTCGAGGATCGTGCGGATCAGATGCAGGTTGCTCTGAGATCAAACTCAAATACAATTCATAGGGTTAACTATCAAGTCCTGGAGACTTACTCCCGCCGACCTTCTTCAATGCAAAGTAGACTTCGTCCTCCGTGGTCTCATTCTCACAGCTAACCACTACAGTCGACGAAAGTTGGGGAAAATCAGCCAAATAGCTGCGAAACTCATCGTCAGAGAGATCATGCTCCTTGGTAAACCAGCTCATGAAATGCCATCAAAACGTCTCGCACATGTCATCGGTCGACCTCAGAGTATGCCCCTCCGGAGTTTTGACCTCATGAATGAATTGATTGGAACTTCGACAGATCTCTTCCTTGCGCAATTCTACGCCCATGTTCATGGCTTCATTAGACATCTTGTTTAACCTATGCCTAACTAAACCAATCTATAGGGAATCCCCGAGCCTCCGCTCGGGACAGACTATGATGGTGGGTGTTGATAGAAGGGGTGTTGAGAAGAGGAATGTGGGTAGGGGGTGATATTAAGAACAGATGTGTTGGAAGAAGGGGGGTTGGAGAGTGGGGATAGTGGAGCTTTAAAGGGCGAAGAAGTGGGTCTCCTAAGCATGTCTTCAGAGGAGAGTTCTTTTTTAACTGGAGAAGCAGACACAGATTGAGACTTAAATTTATCGAGGGCATTCTCCATCCTACTTCGTCCTGCTCGTTTTTCTTTAGACCTTTTAACTCCTTATCTTCTTCGTCTCTCCTTCTTTTCAAGGAGAACCGGGGTAGGTGCCTCTCTTCCATCTCCATATCTTGTTGCTCCTCCTGCCCCTGCTGACACTACTGTTCCAGTTGAAGGTTGCTTTGCGGCTGCTGCTCATCCTTCTGCTGTGGTTTTGGAGTCTGTTTCTTGGCCCACTTTGGGTCGTCCTGATGGGTGGGGGAGTGATTGCAGCTTTAGCTCCCTTCTTTATAACCGCCGTCCACTCTTCAGGGCCATCCGCATGTTTTGCGCGTGTGACCGACTCTACCTTTGCATTTGTGGTCGCAGGATTGACCTGTGTCTCTGGTTTTATTCCGGGGCACGCCTTCGACATCTTATCAGCTACCCCACAAGCCCAGCAGAGAGGTCGTCTCCTTTCTACAACAACGTAGATAAGTTGGCAACTACAGTTCAGCACATTTGGAGTTTACCTGTAATTTCTTCGCTTGACTGTAATTAAGATTTTAATGTCACCAGTGGCAATGCAAGTCTTGTCCTTCAACGTCTTGACATCAGCAACGTCTTCAAATTTGGACAAGAAAAACCCAAATGGCCTTCAGTAATATATAAAGGTGCTCCATTCAGAGCCACCTTCATTTCTCGACATCCCGTTTGGAGTCTTAAAGATTTAGTCGTGAAAATGTCCCAGGCCAGTGATTTTGCGGCGGCGTCCTCCGGAGGGAGCAAGATGTCCCACATGGCATTGCTTCTGCGAACTAATAAAACTTTGGCACTAATATTAAAGATTCTCAGGGTCTCTTCCATAATTTCTCTATTGACACCTATTAGCTTCCGCGTTTTTACATCCGTCATTAAGAGGGATATTGTTTTAGTGTCCATTGCTTCAAGACACGAAGGAACCAGTAAAATTTCATTTCCAGAAATAAAATTGCACCTTTAGGCTCGAATAATAGCTAGGCCCTTTTTTGTGGGGTCTATCTTCCCCCACGCCAAGGGCTCGCTTCAGTAAGAGTTGAATTAGTAGGTTGGGATTCCACCTTAATGTTGGCGTTCCCACGTCACCGCATACAATCAAGACAATTCAACAAAAAAGAATTCCAGTAACGAAGACAAAAACGGATAAGCATATAGGAAATGATGCCATTTCCAATGAAGAAAAGTTAAAGAAAAATCGGATTAACTTTGACGCAATTCTTAATATAAAAAAAAATTACATTTACTACAAAAACAAAAAAAAAAAAAAAACACTCGACCACATTTTTTGACCAATCGGGTGTACAAAAACTATGCAGTCGCTTCGTAAGAAATTTGTGGAGCTAACGCGCATGTGCGTGATCCCACCAGAACATTTAAATAATGAGAATATTTTCAGAACAGTTTAATCGTCTGGCAAGGATATTTGCCAACCGTCCCACGCGGTCAGATGTTGTCACAAGGCCGAATTTAATGTGGGGTATCCGAGCCCGTAGATCCGGGCAAAAATTCCCCGTAGACCTCGTAAAAAACGGGGTCGGGTAGCTGTCTGCCACCCCAGACGAGACTCTACCCTTCGGCATAGCCTTATCTGGGTTCCTCTCTGCCCGAAGGCAGAGAGTTCGACCAGCTCAGCTGAAGACAAATCTCCAACTAATTGCCGGCAAGATGAAATAAAACTGTCTTTCACCGCAAGCCCGCTCATTTTGACCGCTGATTGAACAGTATTAAATTACAATTCTCAACTTGGCGATAATGCTTTTAACGCCATACGGTTGACTCTGTGACTCGCAGAAACTTTAAAGAAAAATAAAACACGAACGATTAATTTTTATCAGATATTTTCACAAGTCTTTTTGTTGTAAAAAGAAAAGGAAATAAAAACTTTATTTTGTGGCATTCATGTTAATCGTTTTTCAAATAACCTTAGTACCACTACAAGCAAACACAACAATAAGGAAGATAGACAAAATGTAACACTTACTTTTGAAGATAAACGACTGCCATTGCTGATTTTGAAATAGCAAGTGACCAATCAGAAACGATCTACGTCACTTCCTCCTCAGCCATGACGAGACAAAAAGAGAAGAAATTGAATGCTCGTCTTTTCCCTCTTAGGTCCAACACACGTAAAGACACACACTCTCGTCTAAACGAACTCTGCTTGACATAACAGGTAAGTAATTTCTACTTATCACCGGTAAAGTTTTATATCCTGTGAAACTTTTTAAAAAAGTCATTCGCTAGTAATAGGAATTATGATCGGAAACTATTTTTCTTGAGGGACAGCTAATAAAAAAAAAAAAAAAAAACACCTGCCTGTACTAGAAATACCAAAACATCGTCGAGTAAGAGAAAAAAAACGGCCCTATCCTCAAAAACAGCGACTGTTGTCATCTCTTTGTATATTTCTATCTTTTATCCCTTTCAACTCATCGCCCACCCATCTCCGTCGTAGAGCTCTATGGATCTGATCTTTTAAGCCATAACCATTTTGAGAAATTGTTCTGATGGCCTTTCTCCCCCCCACCTCCGACTCCAAGTCAACTTAGTTCTACATAAAGATCTTTCTGCAAAAACCACGGCTCCCGACTTCCGTTAGAAGACAGGTAGTCCGCCATTGGTTAAACCTGCATTTCTCAACCAGCTTCCGGTATTTTTCAAGTTTTCTTTCAAAAGCTTCTTTCTAATTCTCCTCCCAAGATAATGTAAGTTTGAGTAATACAACTAGCCTAGAGACAATTGACCAGATTATTAAAACTTAGTGAAGGTAAAAATGTTGCTATCTGCTCTGGGAATTTCAACTGACTCCTGAGGTCTACTCTCAATTGACAACCTCAGGCAGAAGAGGGCATGCAAGTTGACGGTTTACGCACTGAGGGGGCACCGTTTCAGGCTTGTAACTACTAACGCTGATTGCTGCTGCCACCATTTTGGCCACTTAAGTACCTGATTAGTTCTCTATTAGTACTTCCCATCAACAAAGTTTATCGGACAGGCGCTCAGAATGTGTTACAGTGTACCTTTCCTGGCACAGAGTGGGCATGATGGGGGTCTCACTCATTCCCCAAGTATACAAGTTTACAGGACTTAGTAGTACATCATACACGGATTGTACAAGAAGTTTCATCTAACTAGTGTCAGAGTGCCAGATCTCCGACCAGTTTATTTTTCGCCGTAAAAAATTTCTTCATGCATCCTGCTGGTTTAGTCTCATCATCTTGTATATCCTTTTTACCTCAACATTGGTTCGGACTTCCTCATGAATGATTTGCCGTCTCTGCTTACCCTCTTTTTCGATTTGGGTGCCAGAAAAGAAGCCTAGGCCAGTATGATCTGATGTCACCTTCCCCACGTGAGCCTTCCACCGTAAACACTCCTTCACAAAACTTAATTCTCTTCTTGAACGCAATTTCCTTCCACTGCGGACATCGGTGCCTGCTGTCACCACTTTTAGGTCCTTAGAGTCCCTATACTTTAGGAATTCTCTTGTCCGAGCGACTATAGTTTTACATATAGCGATTGCGTCTAGCATGAAACAGCCTGTCGCCTCTGAGTGTTGACTTCAATGATAAAATATATATTCAGGGTTTAAATGA